ATTTGTTGATGTACTCAGCCTGTGATAACATCAAAGTACCCGACTTTGTGTCTCTCTTGATCCTCATCCCAAGAATCTGCTTTGTTGCACCCAGATCTTTTATAGCAAACTGCTTCGACAATTTTTGCTTCAAGTTTATAATCTATTTCATGTCTGAACCTGCAACAAGCATGCCTGAACCTGCAACAAGCATGTCATCAATATACAACAATAAAATAATGAAGTAGTTTTTGAACTTCTTGATGTAGCAACAATGATCTGCTTGGCATCTGGTGAATCCACTACTACTCATGAAGCTATCGAACTTCTTGTACCACTATCTAGGAGCTTGTTTTAAACCATACAAGCTCTTCTTCAACCTGCATACCAGGTTTTTCTTGCCTGCCTCTATGAAGCCTTCTGGCTGCCTCATATATATCTCTTCCTCTAAATCACCATGAAGGAAAGTTGTCTTCACATCTAACTATTCAAGATGTAGATTCTCTGCAGCTACAATTTTCAACACCAGTCTGATTGTAGACAGTTTCACAACTGGAGAGAAAATTTCATTGTAGTCAACACCTTCTTTTTGCTGAAAACCTTTGATAACCAATCTTGCTTCGTAGCGTTTGCTCCCATCATGCTCTTCTTTAATCCTGTAAATCCACTTTTTATGGAGCACTTTCTTGCCTGGTGGTAATTCAGCTAAATCTCATGTCTGATTTGACATAAGCGAGTCCATCTCATCTTTCATAGAAGACTCCCACTTGACTGAATCCTCCACCTGCATTACTTCATCATAGCACTCTGGTTCACCATTGTCAGTCAGCAACAAGTAGTGCAAAGAAGGCATATAACGCTGGGTTGGTTTAGGAATTATGGAGGAGCGTCTTAGTTCTGGTGTACATGGTTCTTCTTGAACTGCTTCAGGATTGATCTGAACATCATTTCCAAAAATCTCCTCAAACTCAACAAATTCCTTTGTTTCAGCTTCGATGTTGGAGCTACTTGATTCTATGTTTAACCTGTCTTTGTACATCACATTCTCATTGAAAATGAAATCTTTGCTTCTAATGATCTTCCGATTTTCATAGTCCCAAAACCGGTAACCGAACTCATCACCACCAAAACCAACAAATACACATTTGTTGGACTTGGCGTCAGGTTTACTTCTTTCAGCAGAATTTATGTGTACATAAGAAATACAAACAAACACTCTTAAGTGTGAAAGGTTTATTTCTTTCTTGCTCCAAGCTTCTTCTGGTATTCCACCATCCAAGGGAACTGAGGGCCCACGGTTGATCAGGTAAGCTGCAGTGTTGATAGCTTCAGCCCATAGCAATTTGGGCAATCCAGCATGTATCCTCATGCTTCTGGCACGTTCATTCAGAGTTCTGTCTATGCGCTCTGCTACGCCATTCTACTACGGTGTTATGGAAACTGTTGTCTCTATCTTGATCCCATTATTTGTGCAGAAATCTATGAATCTACTATTTCTGTACTCTCCTCCATTATCAGACCTCAACCGCTTGACTTTCAAACAGTCTCATTTTCCACCGTGGCCTTCCATTTTTTCAAGGTATCAAAGACTTCTGATTTCTTCTTCAGAAAATAAACCCACACATTCCTTGTAGAATCATCGATGAAGGTGACATAATATAGTGAGCCTGCAAGAGATGAAACTGGAGATGGTCCCCATACATCAGTATGAACCAACTCTAACTTTTCTGCCTTGGGAGTCTTGTCAATCTTTGCAAAACTGAATTTCTTTTTTTTTTGTCAAATATACAATCCTCGCGTAGTCCGACATCTACATTTTTTAGATCCGACAGCTTCCCTTTTGACAGAAGTGTCTTCATCCATTTCTCACTCATATGGCCAAGCCTTTGGTGCCAAAGGTTTGATTTTCCATCAGTATCTACTACTGCAATGATATTCTCTAAGTTTGAGGTTACATAGAGAGTACCAGTCTTCTTACCATGAGCAATGACGAGTGCTCCTTTGGTAATATTCCATTCACAGCCTGAAAAGGTTATACAATATCATTCTCCATCAAGCTGTCCAACAGAAATCAGATTTCTTTTGAGGCCATGAATATGTCTTACTCCTTTCAGTTTTCAGGTGATCTGGTTTGACAACTTTAATCGGATCTCTCCTTTTCCGACAATCTTCAATGTTTCATCATCAGCTAGATGAACCTTCCCAAAATCACAACTGACATAGTTCTCCATGATTTCTTGGCATGGGGTGGAGTGGAAAGATGCCCCTGAATCCAAGATACATGATTCAATCGGACTGTTGACGCTTAGAATCATGGCATCACATGTTTCCTCTATCATGTTGGCAGATTTTTGTGCACCGGTATCTTTCTTCAGTGCTCAACAATCCTTTTTAAAGTGACCTTTTTTGCCACAATTATAACAGGTAAAATCTTTCTTTCTCGTTCTTGATTTTTCCCTTCTGGATTTCTATCTGCCACGATTTAAAATTATTTCTGAAGTTCTCCCTCTAGACTTCGTGTGCAATGCTGAGGAGCTTGATGCTTCATCCGATTCTCTCCGTCGAATTTCTTCACTCAATACCAGATCCCGAACATCATCGAATTTTAATTTGTTGTTTCCCAATGAGCTACTGACTGCTGTAACAGTAGCATTTCAACTGTCTGGTAGAGATGATAAGAGAATTAAAGCTCGAACCTCATCATCGAATTCAATTTCCACGAAACTCAACTGGGTTATGATTGTGTTGAGCCACTGATGCCCCTTCCGTAATCCGCAAATTGAATAATCACCTCATCAAATGAACTTTGTTTGAGGCTGATGGCTTCTCATACATACTGGAGAGAACCGCCATAAGACCCATCGTGGTCTTTTCCTTTGCTATTTTGAAAGCAACATTGCGGGATAACGTCAGTCGGATAACCGAGGGCTTATCTGTCGAGAAGAGCCCAGTCTTCATTCTTAATGCCCTCTGGTTGCTTTCCTGAGAGATGTTGATATAGATTTTTCTGGTACAGAAAATCTTCAATCTGCATCTTCCAAAAGCCAAAGTCCGCACCATCTAACTTTTCAATTTTCACCTTCCCTTTGTCTACAGCCATCGCTCCTACTTGAATCTGGCTTCGTTTGGATCGTTTCTGAAAATTCTTGCGAACCACCGTGTATTAAGAACACCTCCGTCGACAAATTCGTATCCCCGACCAAATTTTACTATTCACGAAATCACTATTCACATGAATAGTAACCTTATAAAAAATTGACAAAATTCATAACCAAAAGCTCTGATACCAGTTGTTGGGAAATAAACGAGTACGAATAATTTCCCTATAACCAGATTAGTGAGAATGCGAAATAAAAGCGAAAAAATAATACCCGAAATTGATAACGGAGTTCAACCAATTATGCCTACGTCTCCATACTGCTGCAGATCTTTTACTAAGAGAGAAAATTTACAGGTGTTTACAAAACACTCACTACTCACAAGAAAACTCTCTAGTATTGGGAGAAAGAAATGATTTTGGGATAATCTTGAAGCTAAATGAGTTAGGGTATTTATAGTTGAAGCTTAAGGACTAATATTGTAAATACCCTAAAGTCCAATGACTATTTGTAATTATCCCATTATCATTTTTCAACAAGCATCTACCAAACTTTGAAAAACTATTTTTCAAAGAAATATTTACCAAACTTTGAAAATCATTTTTTCAAAGTTGGTTACCAAACTTTTAACTTTTAACAATACTTTCAACACAACAGGAGACGAAAAAGAATGTTTTCGTTATAACTCACTTGAGAAGGTGGGAAATTGAGACTTTGTTTTTTAAGAAATCCAAGAAACTGTTTATGTTGAGATTTTACACACAGATCCTCCGAATGAGGGGTCTCGAATTGGAGTTGTTGTTTATGCTTTTGTTGGGAAAAATTAATGTAAGTACTATCAAATTGATAAAGATTTTTAAATTATATTTGATAAAGATTTTTAAATTATAAATTTATCAAATTATTTTAAGATAATATTAATTAAATAATTGGTAAATTTTGAGACTAAAATTATTATTATAAACTTATGAAATTCTTTAGATAAATGGGTCTTTGGATATATCATAGCTTTATGTAACTCTATAAATGGGCTAATTGTTAAACCATTGATATACAAAAATGAAAAAGATAAGAATCCTCCCTACTTAGTTCTCTTATCGCTGTTTGTTTTCCAATTATTCCTAATTTCCTATTATTTTATTTTACAACGTTGCCTTGATAGAGATTATAAGAAAAATGTAATAATATAAAAGAAAAAATTATGACAACAAAAACGAACACATAGCTTTTATCAAAAATCAAAACCCATTAGACATAAATATATATATAATTCACTAAATAGATGATGATGATAATAAAGGATAGGACATAATTTTTGTTTTAATTTTACAAATATTTAGAATCGTTAGATAAGTGAAAATAGACTATTGGATTAACAATAAAAAATAAAAAGATATTCACTAGAGAGAAAAACAAAAAGTTAATTTCATTTTTTTAGTAATTTTTTATTTTCACTTATCCAACAATCCTAAATTTAAATAAAACTAAAAAAATTAAATTATGTTAATATATCACATCCCTAATAATAACAAAAATAATACAAATATTAAAAGAAATTAATATAAACATATTTTTTTTTTAAAAAAAACCCCGTAATTACTCAATTTTGGTATAATTTCACATGATTTCCATATTTGCCCCAAATCAAAGTTTTGACAGTTGAGTTCGCAAGTAATGAATGCCAAGGAAAATCCAATACCCCTGAAACGATGAACTTTATAGTATGTAATAGATTTATGGTGGGATAGATTTAAAAAACAAAAATCATTTTATATTTAATTGTTGATCAAGATGCTCATCTTTATTCCATCGTGCTCTTCATTATTACAAATCGTCACAAGAAAGAACGCCAAAAATACTATAATCATAATAATTAAACAGAAACAAAAACAAAACAAAGAGATGTCCTGATGCACTATTCTGCAAAGTACAATGACAACAAACATGAGGTATATACATTCTGCAAATGCGAATTGTGTTGCAACTAAGTTATTTCTTATTGCATTTAGAGCTGGCTGATGTTTAAGCTGTACAATGCGCTTTAAAAAAGTTGAGCATAATTGTTTTCAAAGTTCGTTGGAGTAAAGGCACTCGTCTACAAGTTGGCGAAGGTTAGGATTCTCCAAGGCAGCAGCAACTCTCTCTTTATCATTCAACAGCTTATTAACTGAAGAATGAACGTGGTGAACATCTTAAGAATTAGATCAATGTAACAGAGATATGAGAATGGTGAAAGAGTTAGCTGCTTCTATTGAGATAACACATTACGTGCTAGAAATAGCTAACATGACTCACAAGAGCAAGAAAGATTGATGAATGGAAAACTACTACAGCAGTTGTAATACTATAAACACCCTTCAATTACATGAAAAACTTTGAACATGTCCGTCTTGAATACATACAAAGTATCCGACTCTAAAACCCAAATTCCAGTAACATAGATTCTCTTCTTTTATTCAATCTCTCATCTTTATAGGATAGAAAATCCGTTTTGTTAAGAAAGAGCAAGTTAAAATATTAAAATCCCATTATGTCTAAATCATATCAAACACGTTCCATTAAAAGGAGACCACCTATATGAATCTATATCTATAGACATCTTATCCATCTCCAATGGTGGTTTTTTTTTTTTTTTTGCTGCATTGCCAGGTAAACTAAAATCCATTTAGAGAGAGGAAAAAATAATGAATAAAGAAGTTGTAAGGGTCCCAGATGATATATTTCAACACAGTGAGTTATCACTTGAGCATAGGCATTGGATGAACAATCAAGATTTGTTGGTTATGCTCTTCAAGTTATCCTTTATTAACATTTATATCCCCACTGAAACTAGAAAAAATCAGTCCCTCACACCTAAAAAACAATGCGTTTTGTAAAAGAAAAAAGTTCAAAATTGTTGCCAAGTAAACTTCTACAAGCTTTTGAACTTGACCTGATTGTTCATCAGCATGAGATCCGGGGGCAACTTTAATGTCAACCTACAAAGATAAATAATTAGCAAAAGCATATTTTCATCTGTTTAGAGCTAAAGAAAAGGAGCAGAATCCAGTTTTACATCTAATAAAAAAATGCAATATAATTTCACTTTCAGAAGATTAATTGACAGAAAAAAATTAAATAAAATATTATAAACTTTGACTGAAGAAACAAAAACAGACCTTGAAGTGTGGAGGAAAACAATCTTTTAATTTAACCCTTAGGCATAGACCGATTACTGTCGCCATGCTGCAATGCTGGATAGTGGGAGTGAAAGTTATCCTAAACAATTAATCAACTATATTACCTCATAATCGGAAGAATTAGTTTTAAGCAACAACCCAAAACCCTTAAATTAAACTATTAATCTAACACCAAAGTTTCAGAAATTGAACCTGAAAGATAAAATTTACACATTTCAAGCTTCTTCTTTTTTTCATTTCACGAATTTCATATCAGAACTGAAGTGATAAAATACTCACAGAATTCGACCCAGCTTATCATCAACTGTGATTGATTCCTCCGAAAGAACGCTAAGTTGCTCTAATGAATACGGATGTTCAGGATCTCTTATATCCCTAACGAAATTTGGATTTCCAGTCAAAGATCACAACGTCTTTTACATTAACTTTGTTTTCCAATTATCATATGATGAAGAAATGAAGAGAAAAAATCAATTACGAAAATTACTATTTGGCTGCTGAAAAATAAGTAATTAAAACCTAAATTAGAGCTTAGCCAATTTAAGTCTTTCATGATCAGATAAAAAGGAGAAAAAAATTGTTGTAGAAGGATATCATATATTTCGAGTGGATCAACGGCATCGTTATCGTGAGGATCATCAGTACGAGCAACTCGTTCTTTCTTGGCGTGAACCACTGGGTTCGCATTGATCAAGCCCAGAGTCATTTTTGCCCCCTCTTCTTCTTATTCTTCTTCTTCGTTTGTACGGCTTTGGTTCACCGACGTCTCTTGGACTCTGGTTTCTGCGGGAGACAAGCGGCAGCGCTTTGAAGTTTACTACTTATCGAAGGCGTTGATTTTTTTTCGCCAAAGAAGGCGTTGATTACTGATTGATTGGCTTTTTTGGTTTTTCTTATAATCCAGTGTCGCAGTGCCACGCTAAAGTTTGGTGGGGTGTTTTTGGCATAAAGCCTAATTGTAGAATGCTTCCTGATCTTGCCACGTATTGCATTGGGAAAATATTGACCTACGGATGGGTGACAAAGAAGATTATTATGTACACGGACGAAACCAGCATTCAATTTTAATAGATATTTAATCTTTTTAACGGTTATAAATTTTACATATTTTTATTATTTATTTATTTTAAAAATATAAACGATAACATCTAAAATATATATTAATTTTATTGATTCTATTAAATGATAAATATAAAATAAATAAAAAAGATAATTTTAAAATATATCAAAGTTGTAATTTTCACATCATCATAATAAGTCATCAAGAGAGAATAATAAATTAGCTCATAACATAATAAAAATCAAATCTAAAAATCAACATTTAGTAGTATAACAATGATTATCTTTTCCATCATCAGCGACTTTAGTTTCTATTTCTCATTTGCCTTCTCATAAGAAGGCTTTTATTTCCTCTATTTTGAACATTATTGAGCCAAATTGTTATTATGAAGCCATTTAAAATCCTTGTTGGGTACAAGTACTGAAGGATGAAATTAAAGCCTTGGAATTAAATAAAACTTGGTCTCCTGTCCTATTTCCTTCAGGTAAGGTTGCAATCTGTTGTAAGTGGGTATATAAGGTAAAGTACCATGCTTCGGGGGAAGTTGACCGTTTTAAGGCACGTTTAGTTGCCAAAGGCTATAATCAGAAACATGGTGTTGATTATAGTGACACATTTTCTCTTGTTGTAAAGATGGTAATCCTACGGTTAATTCTTCTCTTTCTGCTACTTTTAATTGGCTCTTATATCAGATGGATGTATTCAATGTCTTCCTGTAGGGTGATTTGAATGAAGAAGTGTTCATGGATTTACTTGAGGGTTTTTGCAGTCAGGGGAAGTGACTAGCCTGTAGACTGCACAAATCATTGTATGGTATCAAGTAACTTCTAGGCAGTGTAATGCAAAGCTAACAGAAGCTTTGGTTACTGCAGGATATGAGCAGGGCAAATACGACTATTCGTTGTTTGTTAAGAAACCAGGTGGAAAAATGATGGTTTTGCTTGTTTATGTGGATGACCTGCTGATTACTAGAGATGATTGCATATTCAAAGAAGATTTTAGACCACAATTTTAGAATGAAAGATTTAGGTACATTGAGATATTTTCTCATAATAGAAGTTTAGAGGTCCAAGGAAGGAGTGTTGTTGAACAAAAAGAACTATGCATTAGAGTTGATCAAAGATACTGTTTTAGTGGGAGCAAAAACTGTTGCAACACCTCTTGAGCATAACTTGAAGCTGACTACAGCATAACATGGCCAGGCAACACAGTAGTGTGCTGGAGATCACTTGTTGGAAGATAAATATGTGTTTCAAAGACTTGTTGGCAAATTAATCTACCTGACTCATACAAGGCCAGATACTATTTTTATAGTGAATTAGTTAAGTCAGTTCATGCAAGAACCTAAGGAATCTCACATGGAAGTAGCTTTAAGAATTGTAAGATATATGAAGAGGGAGCCTCGTTAGGGAATTTTGTTTAGGTTTCAGACAAAGTTCAATTAACAGCTTTCTATGACTCTGATTGGGCGTCTTGTCCCATGACAAGGAGATCGATCTATGGTTTCTGTGTTAAAATGGGAAAGTCTGATATGCTAGAAATCTAAAAAATAATGCACGGTTGTTAGATCATAAGCTGAGGTTGAGTATAGGAAGGACCATGGCGGCTGTTACTGCTGAAATAGTAAGATTGGTGGGCTTCCTACATGATCTTGGTATCCGAAAAGAAGAATTTGTCATACTGTTTTGCGATAACAAAGCAGCACTGCAAATAGCATCCAATTTTGTGTTTCACTAGCGAACTAAGTATGTTGAGATCGATTATCACTTCGTTCAAGATAAGAATAAAAAAGGTCTAATAAATAATAAATACGTGAAGACAACTGAGCAGCCTGCAAACACAATGACTAAGGCTCTTGATTCTTAGCAGCATAACTGCTTGACTTGTAAGCTGGAAATCAAAAATATTTTTTCAGTTCCCAACTTGATGGGGAGTGTTAGAAATAAGCAGTTGTAGTTTGTTTAAGTAGTAGAGCAGTTACTTTGTTAGATTGTTACAAATGTATATATAAATATGTATTTATTTTATTTTGATTCATTTTTATTTAATTTATCCCTACTTAATTTTTTGTTTATTCAATTTAGTCCATGTCTGTTTTGTCTCATAATCACTCATAATTGCACACGATTCCAACAAAGTTGTTGACAACTGCTAACTTTAACAAATTTGTATTCATCAAAAAATGACTTCATCAAACATTATAAATTTTGATCTATTCTCAAATAATTTTCTTGCATTCTTATTTTTTAAAATTTTCATTTTTAAACTAGATTCATATAATTTTAAGTGTATCTTATACATATTTAAAATTTTTATGGGTATAATTGTTTTTAATTATGTAAGTGTAGATTGTCTTGCATGTTTAAGTATATCATAATTGTTGGGTTTGTTAAATAAAACATATTTAGAGTATTTTAATTATACTTTAATTATAATAACTTTCAAATTTATTTTTATTTATATATTGTAATTGAGAGAAAGTCCATTTGTCAAGTAGATATTTATTCTTTCATATTTCTTTAGGTTATGAGTTTTAAATTTTTATGGGTATAATTGTTTGTAATTATGTAAGTGTAGACTGTCTTGCATGTTTAATTATACTTTAATTATAATAACTTTCAAATTTATTTTTATTTATCTATTGTAATTGAGAGAAAGTCCATTTGTCAAGTAGATATTTATTCTTTCATATTTCTTATACATATTTAAAAATTTTATGGGTATAATTGTTTGTAATTATGTAAGTGTAGACTGTCTTGCATGTTTAAGTATATCATAATTGTTGGGTTTGTTAAATAAAACATATTTAGAGTATTTTAATTATACTTTAATTATAATAACTTTCAAATTTATTTTTATTTATCTATTGTAACCCCCTAGACCCGACCTATGCGTTTCGACTAAGTCTAGTGGATTACATTATGATTCTTAAAGATATTTTCTGAAAACTGTTATTCAATCAATGTAAATCACATTATAAATGATATGATATTATACTATCAAAACCCAACTTATAAATATAATACCAATAAGTAATTAAATTAAAACATGTCTTAAAAATCAAAATCACGATAAACCGAATATTAATAGCAAAAGTGTAATCACTATAAAATCTAATACTTTAAAATAAGATCCATGTCACCAAAATAAAGTCAACTTGCAAGATAAAACATTACAATCAGATATACTTCAAGAGATATGTTGATCCTCCAAGTGCTCGAACCGAGGTATCTAACTAACAATATCTGAAAGGGGGGAAACATTTTCGAAAGGTGAGCTAGGCTCAGTGTGTCCCAATATTACCTTAAAATCACAATAGGTACATTTAACAAATCATAGTCCAGCAAATCTCATAAATTCATAAAAGAGTTTAATTTTTGAAAATCATAGTTTAAACCCTTTTCTTGTACACCATCAGTAGTTTCCAAAACTATTTTCCATATAGCTTACTTTAAGCACACAGCAAAAAGAAAGCCAACCTAAGGATAAGCTTTAGAGCTTGTATCCTTAGGCCCACAAGTCCAAGTCCATATAGCTTACCCTAAGCACACAGCAAGGGAAGCCAACCTAATGCATCTTGGGGCCCTCAAGAATCACATTAGGCTCGTTTATTAGCTTGATCAGAGCTATACTATCGTAATTCAATTCAATCCAAAATCAATAATCATAAACCAATCATCATAGTCCATAAATCATCACCAGTAAATCGGTGTACCAATAAACAATAAACCATAGATTTCAATATACCATATTTCAAAACATATAAAACAATTATATAGTAAACAGGGAACACACCTCGATAATAGGTTCAAATAGTAGATCTATTGATTGCTGGTTTCACCACGCTCTACTACAGTTTTCGAACCTATTTTACAAGAACACTATATTACTTATGGGTAACATAAATAGATCTCTAAAATCATAAAATTACGGGTCTTACGGGTGAATACTGGCACACGTGGTTTAACTGATCTAGAAGAGTTGGGTCGAGCTGTCGAACGATCCGGAGAGTCTCTTGTACCTTCAAACAATAATAATCTATCAGTTCCAAATCTTACTTAATTGTTCAAAGCTAGACTTCTTAAGTATATAAGTATTTTCTGGGTTCGACTATCAATTTGGGGTATTTTGAGTCTGAATTTGGCTAAACGGATTGCGGAATCGGAATCACGACGTCGATAAACATAAAGTATGACTTTTCGAAAATTCAAATTCTGTCAAAGTCAACCACTTTGATCGTCGATTTAGAGACTATTGAGTTCAAATTTGGTGAAACAGACCCCAAAAATAGATTCGGGACGTCGAAAACTGTCATGATAGGTATTTTCAGAAAAGATTAACGATTGTTTAATAGCCGGTCAAAGTTCTGGTCAAAGGAGGTCAACTCAAACATTTGAAAATTCCCAAAATGTCACCCTTTTTAAAATAATTCCCAGAGTGTCACCTTTTACGAAATAATTCCCAATATGTTACCTTTTTCGAATATTTCTTATAATGTCACTTTTTTTTAAAAATAATTCCCAAAATGTCACCTTTATCGAAATATTTCCCAGAATATCACCTAACAACAATTATTTACCAATCTAGCCATCTTCTTAAAATATTTACTAAACTAACACCCAAACCGGTCAACCACTGTTTTGAAGCTCCCGGGTGTCCTAAAAATTCCCGAAAATTTTCCAAAAATTATTTTAAGCGATTTTGAGATACTTACAAAGCTCGGTTCAAAATTTTGAACGGTGGAGAGCTCGATTTCAATAAATCCGAAACTTTGACTGCTTCACCGCTCCA